TGCCAGTGGGAACTGACAGTTTAGATATGGCAACCCTGTGGGCCTGTTGTCATTGACAGAATAAATAGTTGTATAGATTGCCAAAAGCGAGTCGTTAACGGGCGGCCATATTGCCTCACAAGTGCTCATAAATAATTACTTACATTTTCACTTCACTTTTGTTTATTTTTAAAAACATAGATGATCAATCTATATACTTATCATTTACCTACGGGCAACCATTTTGTTTGGAATGCCAATCCCACCCTCCAAACATAACGCACCCACAAATATACACAAAGAATAACCAGTATATTTAAAAAATTAAAATAAGCAAAAATATTTAAATTATTAAATATTTTTACTTTTTATTATTTTTTTTTTAATATTTTGTATTTCAATCGATAACAAGTAATTTATTTATTTATTTATTTATTTATTTACGGGCAAGCCAATTTGAGAAATAAATTACAATTTTAAAATTATAATTAAAATGTAGTGAAATATATATGGTGCTGAAATACAATCGTGGTATAATTCATAAAATAGGTTAAGAATTTAAAAGATTTAAAAGACAAAAGACAATAAGGTTGAATAAAATATTTACATTAAATATTAAAATTAAAGATTAAAAATTAAAGCTCAGTACTAAGTAATTGCTTTATAAATTTATGAAAGGGGGTGTTAAATATCTCAAGATCGTTATGAGTAGACCTAAGAATATATGCACCCAAAAAGTAGTTAAATATACGCATATATCTGCCGCAAAATACTTCAATATATGCGTAAAAAATTGAAAAATATGCAGAGCATATGCAATAAGAGTAATTTGTTATTTGATCGAAATAGTTTATTAATATTTATTATTTGTTTTATTTTACAATACCTAATATAATACTTAATAATTATTTAATTATTAACTAATGTTATTTACAAATCAACATTATTATAAAAAGAATGAACAATTAGATGTTTTTCTAAATTATCTGTATTAAATGATTGTCTCCTATCAGTAAGTATGTACTTGTACAAAGAAAAACTCTATTCGACATCTACAGAAGTAATAGGTGCAAACTTAAATTTTCCTGAAATATCTGGATGAATAATATTAATATCTTCAAAGTTACCAGAATAAATATTAGCAAGGTTTCTTAAAACAATAAATCCTTCATTTTTTAAAATTACATTTGAAAATTTATGAAAAATCGTCTTTCCAATATCGCCCTGGACATTTTTACACTCTGATTCAAACGTCTTAATTAAATTTACGGAAGTCACCAAAGGTTAATTTTTTTTTCTAAATCTAATATAATTTTGGGTACAAATGCATAATTTTTTAAAAACACTAATTGCTTTGGTAATATGTGATTTTAAAACAACTTCTTTGTATTAGATATTCCCTTAGATGAATCATCAAAATCAAATATGATTTCTTTAATTTTTTCATAATTATCTGCGTAAAAAAAGGCAGCTTTAAGCCAGGTACCCCACGAATGTAATCACAGGTTCCGGTGGCATCTGTAATTCAGGAAATTTTTCTTTGTACAATTGAGTTCTTAGAGGAGCTTTAAGAAATATTTTTTTTACATTACTAATTAAATCATTTATTAAAGGAAAGTTAGACCTGATTTCTTCTGCAACTCTGTTAAGGCCATGATACAAACATGTAACATGGATTACGTTTTCATAAAACATTTTTAAATTTTGTGCGGCTTTTACCATGTACGGGGCAGCATCGGATAACAGCAATAATCATTTTTCTGTTGGAACGGCTTCCGGAAGAAAAAAGGAAGACAATTCTGTCTGGATAAAACGAGTTATTGTCAATTTATATGTTTTATCTAATTGCTTTGAAGCGATTAGATATAGACCAATTTGCATTTCTTCGCGTAATGAACCTATCATTAAATGGGCTGTATATCGACCACAAGAGTCTCTTGTTTCATCCACAATAATGTAGAAATGGTTTCCAACGGTGATCTCACGAATTTTTTCACGAGTCTCAATGTACAAACTGTCAACACCACGTTTGCGTAATATACTGTGCTCTGGAATATTAAATTTACAGTATTTTTGCAAAAATGATCGGAGATTTGGATTATTTAATCGTATTAAAGGGATATTCGAAGTCACTAAAGCTTTGCATAAATATTCATTAAAAATAGCTTGTTCACTTCTAGACGATCCAGATTCTAAATATTGTTTCAAGGGAAGTTGACTTTGTCTGCGAGTGTCTTTAGATTTCAACTTTGCTATATGTGAGGGTGTTTTCGCGTGTTGGTCGATTTGAAACTTTTTTTTACATGGAATCTAAAACAAATAAATTCCTGTAGATGTTGAAGTTTTAATTAAATTAAATAAATGCGTACGTTGTAAAGTTGCCCTACTTTTTTTTTTTAACTGTGAGTTGAAATAATATTTTACTGTCGTTTGATTTACCATTGTGAAAGATCAAAATAAAATATAAAATAAAAAAGTACTTACAATTTTAGAACATGTTTTACAAAAAACCTGTTTATCACCTTCTACAACAAAATCTGAATAAGATTTTACCCACGACTCAATTAATTTTGCCATTTTTCCCACTGGTTAACACAACACAACAATAAAGACTGAAGTTGAAAGTAAACTGAGTCATTTAGAAATTTGAAGATATTAATACAACTACCTGAAAGGATATTTAGCAAAATTTGTTGGTTTAAGGAGTGTGTTTATAATTTAATCCTTTCAAGTACCTACACCATTAACCGTAATTTATTACAGGGAAAAGTTAATCCTTAAAAATTTTAGGAAATCGACCTGTAAAGGCATTTCACAAAATATTATTTTGGTCCAAAACTCATAATTTTAATATGTCCAGCCAATTAGTACGTCAGATATATGCATTCAAAATTAACAAAATGTCAATATATGCATTCAAAATCAAAAATTGTATATATATGCGACATATGCAAAATATGGCGTTTTGCATATATTCCTAGCTCTAGTTATGAGTGTTGGCTAATCTTAACATTCTTGGAATACAGTTGCCAAAAGTATGGTTTAAACCATTAAAAGGTACCTAAAATGTTTGTTGCTGTCGAGTTGAGCGCGTTGGAACATAAAGATTTATTTTTGTTAGAAGTTCAGTACAGCTGCATCTGCCATTGATAATTTTGAAAAGTAATGTCAGGTCTCTCTGTTTCCTCCTAGTTTCCAAAGAGGGAATGTTTAGAAAATTATCTATCAAATCATACTCGCAAAGCACACCCAATTTATAGGCTATGTATCTAAGAAATTTGTGTTGCACATTTTCTATGTTTCTGCTGTGCGTTATGTAATGTGGAGACCAGACAGAAGAGCAATAATCTAGGTGAGGTCGGACTAGTGAACAATAAAGGACTTTAGTTGCAGTTGTGTCAGTAAAATCATGTGTTAGCCTTTTGATAAAACCTAACATTTTCATGGATTTATGGATAGCCTTAGGTATGTGTTAATTGAAGCTTAAAGTGTGATCTAGAATAACTCCAAGGTCTTTAATTTGATTAACAGACTCCAAGATATGACCATTTAAGTTATATTCAAAAGTAGTAGTTGGTAAATGGGATTGATAAAAGCACATGACATGGCACTTTATAGCATTCAAATCCATGCCATTTAAGGCACACCAGTTTGATAGATTATCAAGGTCAGACTGAAGCCAGAGGGTATCATAAATGGTTTTAATAGTTAGGAAAACTTTTAAATCATCTGCAAACAATAGTGCTTTGCCATACTGAAAACAATGAATGATGTCATTTATAAATAAGTTTAATAAAAAGGGACCAAGGTGTGATCCTTGAGGAACACCTGAGGTAACTTGAAATGAGTTTGAATGGTGATGGTTTACTCTAACCATTTGAGTTTTGTTCGTAAGATAGCTACTAATCGATTGCAGTAAGACCCCATTCATGCCATATTTATCGAGCTTTTGAAGTAAGAGAGAATGGTTAGTAATCCTTGATTTTATAAATTAAAAAAATATATAACCAAAAATTAAGTTATTTTATTTATAACTTTCACAAGGATGCTTGTTTAGTCATTGTTTTCACACTAATATCTTCAAATTTTTATATATTACTAATTGCTTCTTTAACCCCTTACACTTAATTGCTTATTATTTACTTTCATGCTATGAATAAGTATACGTTTTTTAATTACATATCTAGAAAATTTTATTAGGTTTCTTTTAATTGACTGTAAGTTCCAAATAAATGTTTTTCTACACCCACATGGTTATTCACTATATGTACGTGACTTGAAATAAATAGCAAGTTGTCAAATACAAAAGGCCATATATTTTATTGACTATCTCTCTAGACCAAATATTAGCGACTAGAGAAATAGTCAATATTTGGTCTAGTGAAATAGTCGTCCCAAATATAACACGACCCTGATTAATATTCTATTTTTGTTGTTGCTTAATTTCTTGAACATTTTACAATTTGATTCTACATAATTTTGGCATCAATTGATTATTGCCAAAAATTATGTCTCATCAAATTGATATAAAAATATTCTCGAGATTTAGATTCAACAAAAATAGCCGACTATTATCAAGGTCTTGGTATATTACCCTTGAATAATTTATCAGACCCATTAAGACTGTAGTAACTATGATAACACAGATTAAATTTTTTAATACTTCTGTTTATATGTTTTATAAATATTTTGATTGGATTTTTTTGTTTTGAATAAATTTTTTTTATTTGTTTTTTACATTGTGTTTATATTGCTACCCGGTTGAACAAAACAGGGTTCTTTGCAATTTTTAAAACAAAATATTATTTTGGCTAATTATAGAAATATTATTAAAAACTGATATCGGTATATCAAACTTAAGTTATTGGGAAATATTTTAACATGCATCAAACTTTTGCCACTCTAAAGTAGCACTCAATACAGTCAGTTTTTGAACTGATACCCGGCTTTATCGACTCTCCCCTACTCGATCCTTACTATATAATTTTACGGGCATCCATTTTTATTTTATTATTTTTTAGAGCCGATTCTGTAACTTGGAATCCTCATAAACTTCTGGCCGCTCCACAACAATGCTCCACATTACTAATTCGCCACGATGGAATCTTGGCCGAAGCAAATGGGACACAAGCAGCATATCTTTTCCAAAAAGATAAATTTTATGACACTACGTATGACACAGGTAATTATTTTTTAAAAAACAGTTGAAAAGTTCATATAAATTGGATCCAATTAAGTGGATTGTAATTTTGGGAACTTATACTTTCAATTCATCTAGATTTTTAATAAAAATTGCAAGAAGATAAATGGTTTTGACCATGGTATAAAAAATAAAAGGTAGGATAATATCAATAGTGTCAAAAATAGAACGGCCACGCGCATGACGTCACGCGTAGAGTTTTTATAGGCGGGAATTTAAAAATACTGACGAAGTGTAAGGAAAAATATTAAGGATAATATTTTAGAAATTATATGAAATATCTATGGATATTATTATGGGATAGTTAAGAAAAGAACTATAAAGGAACATAAATGCAAATACATACATAAAAGAAATATTTTTTTAACAGTTTTTTCCCTTGTTTTTTAATGATTTATTTTGGTTATACAAATTTGACTTCTAAAGAATAGTTTTTATAACCAGGATAATGAAATAAAGGGTATCTTCGCAACTCGAAACTGGGGATTGTGGTAACAATTTCGGATCTGGGTGTGCCGGAAATTTTTACCTGATTAGGATTTGCAACTCGTTACTCATATACCTGCATTATATTGCCGAATTGAATAAAAATATTTTTTTTTATGTAATATAATGCAGACATTCATATAATAAAAAGCAAAACAAAAAAATGTACCAAATACAAATAACTGCTACATAAAATATGGTTGGTGCATATACAAAATTAAAATAAAATGTCGCTGCATTTTTCCTGGACCTAGTCGCTGACAGTTTTTTAATTCATTCATCAAGTACAAGTCAAAATTTTCTTTTTTTTTGTGACATTTACAATTTCACTTTTATTTATTTATTTATTTTTATAAACTGTTCTACAGGAAATTCCCAATTAAAGAACAGGTAAACTATGGCAAAACAAATATATCAGAAAAATACAATATACAACGATAAAATAATCACAAAATCAAATGTTTTATGTCCAAAACTCTAATGTTAAATATATCCAACTCAGAGTTTATGCTATTGCAATCACTACACATGACATATAATGGAGATTTGCTTAAAATGTTGGTGCAAGGAATGGTCAAGTAAAAAGTATCATTGCACCTAGAAGTTTGGTGGGAATCCTAAAATTTAACATATGCAGCAGGTCTTTACAATTTATTTTGTTGGTTATGACTTTGTGCAGTGTAACCACTGAAAAATACTTGCGCCTTGCTTCAAGACTCGAAAAACTATGTCTTACTAACAGTTCGTTATGTGGGGTGCCAATTGGAGGATACACTTGGTCTTCTCGAAAACTTAAATATTTGAGAAACCGTCTTTGAAGAGCCTCTAACCTGGTAACGTGTACCTGGTAACTGCGACTCCATATAACCGAAGCATATTCCAGTTTTGAGCGGACAAACGCATAATAAAGATACTTTAAAGTACTTGAATTCTTAAAATCCCGACAGTTCCAAATTATGAATACCGTCAATGTTGTCATTGAAGGATAGTGCTGGATCAAAAGTAACGCCTAAATCCACAAAGGTATTCGGTCTGCATAATAGAGTGTTGCCTATACAGTAATTGTAAGTAATTGGATCAGAGCTTAGTGAATAAGACATGACACTACACTTCGAGGAGTTCAAATTAAGGTTATTTTCCCGACACCATTCGATAACTCTCAGAAGATTTTCAGATAGCCTTTCACAATCCGCGACGTTCTTAATTGTTATGTAAAATTTAAAGTCGTCGGCGTAAATTAAAGAGTCAACATCAACTACATTCACGATGTCATTCACAAAAATATTAAACAGCAACGGGCCTAGATTTGATCCCTGAGGAACACCGGAGATGGCAGAATACCGATCAGACCTAAATCCATTTAATTGAACGTATTGTATTCTGTTGGTGAGATATGATATAAGAAGCTGAATAAGATTGTTTAAAAGTCCAAAAGAGGCTAGTTTTTTTACCAAAATACCATGGTCAAGCTGATCAAATGCCTTTGTCATGTCCGTATAAATAACATCTGTCTGAGTTCGGTTGTCAATGTTTTCTGAGATATACTGCGTAATTATGGAGAGATTTGTAACTGTTGAACGACCTTTTACAAAGGGATGTTGTTGATCCGATATTATGTTGCGGACGTGTTGGTAAATTGTACCTTCCAGCAACATTTCAAATACTTCACTAAAGTTACAAATGATAGAGATAGGCCGATAATTTTCCACCTCAGTTTTGCTTATATGGCGAAATTTTTAGCCTTCAAAGGGTAGAGTCTTCAGTTCAGAAGTCCCAAATTGTGAATGAACCAGTGTGAATCACATAGGTTCATTCACAACTTCACATTATATGAAGTTCTGATTTGAGGCCCCTCTAATTGGAAGGTTGAAAGTGCTTGGAATACATATGAAAATTTATATGCAGGGTCACAAGCCACTACAAGGGCTGCTCCATGTCGAATTTTCTTGGGAAGGAGGGTAGAATTGCTTATTTAGCATATTTTTTTAATAAAAGGCTTATGGATTTTAAGAATTTTAATCTAGGGAACTGCATGCTCCCCTGGGCCTCCGCTGGAGCCGCCCTTGGGCAACTCCTCACTTCTGACTGAGCTCTTACTGTCGAGGAAAGCGAAAAACTATGCTATCTTTCTTGAATCCTTTCCTTTAATTGTTACTGTTACATCCGTATCACAATTTTTCAATGTTTTTCATTAAAATCACTCACAGAAAACAAACTTTACAACATAATATAATACAAATTTCTGATAAATATCTTATAAATTACTATAAACGACTCACAAACTACTGTAACATGCGTCTTTCATATGATATTTATTTTGCGCCAACTCTACTAACTCTGCGCATGACGTCAGCGCCGCCATGACACCATGCGCGATATCTCCCCCTGGGTTTTGACTGTTAAATAAAAAATTATTTTTAGAATCTTCCTTGGCAGTGGCAGTAGTAGATTTCGATTTTTGAAAACTATGTTGGTTTGTTACAGTGACATTTGAACTCAAAAATTATACCAATCTTCTACACATTGCTATTTCAAATGTCTGAAAATATTTAAAGAATACTATTTAGTCTATACCGGGTGTTGAAATTAAAGTGTTACAATTAAATACCACCGAAAATATGCATTTAAAAAAAAAGTTTCAGACAAAAGTTTTATAGTTTTTTGGAGGAAACATTTTGTCTAAATCAATATTTTATAGCTGACCACAATATGGCCATATCGAGGTTAACTTTTTTTTTTCAAATTGGAACTCCGTTTTTTTACATATTCTTAAAGTTCATAAAAAATAAGTAACTTTTAAAGGAAACATTTTTTTTATTGGATTTTTACTTGTTGCGTAACACCTACTTGAAAATTTTTCTGCCCGAAAAAAAAGTCTGAAACGTCTTTTTATAAAAGGCTGTATTTAACTGCACGCGAAATACTGACTTCGCGTGCGATTGCACGAAAAAATATTTTTTTTCTACGACCGTGTATTTTTACCCACTTTCCCGCACGCATTTTAGTTTTGAAAGTGTCACTTTCCCGCACTAGTGCGGGAAAAAATCACTTTCCCGCACTAGTGCGGGAAAGTAAAATTATGAATATTTAGCCTTACCTATTGTATAGTTTTTTTACCTCGGATGTTATAACTATTGTTACAATAGGTAATTTAGTATTTTCCAACTATTCCATTTAATAAAATTTACTTTTTTTCTTGCTTTTTGTTATAATTTTAATTTTTTGGAAAACTTGAATAATAGAGATATTTTTATATACCTTCTGTATGTTTTTAAAAGTCAAACTAGGCTGTGACATGTATGGCTTGATATGGTTGCTATATGGTAACCAAGGCGTGTTATTGTTACAAAAACGTCAAAGTTGTTTGTTGAAGCGTCAACTGAATTAAAATAAATTAAAGAAATAATGGATTCATCGGATGAAGAGCTGCCCGAAGCCATTTTAAAAGCTGCAAATGAAGCACATTTGGAGGTGTTACCTGCCAAATCACGAGGAAGATATGAAAAACAATACGACCATTTTGTCACATGGTGTAAACACGAAGGGGTAAAAACCTACAAAGAAGAGGTGTTTCTGGCGTATTTTTCCCACCTAAGTAAGTTTTTGAAATCTAATACTTTATGGTCTCGCTATTCGATGGTGAAAAGTTTAGTAAAAATAAAACAAAATTTGGATATAAGCCAGTTCCATAAGTTAACGTAATTTCTAAAACAAAAAAATGTTGGTTTTCGAGCACAGAAGGCGCAGGTTTTTACCAAAGAAGATATATCCAGGTTTATGTTAGCCCCTGATGAGGTATACCTTATGATTAAAGTGAGTACCATTTTTGCTTTAGCTGGTGCTCTCCGCAGAGCGGAGCATGTAAATATCACTCTCGATGATATACAAGATAAAGGCAATCTGATAGTTGTGAAAATTTCCGATTCCAAAAATCATTCTTCAAGATCATTTGTTTTATGTGAAGAAATAAATAATGGAAACTTTCTGAAGCTGTACAGAAAGTACGCAGGTTTACGACCACCTACCACTCCGCATCGCCGCTTTTTTATTAATTATAAGAAGGGAAAATGCTCAATTCAGTGCGTTGGCGTAAACACCTTTGGTAAGATGCCAACAGAGATTGCTGCATATTTGCGTCTACCTAATCCTGAACGATATACAGGACACAGTTTTAGACGTTCTTCAGCAACATTCCTAGCAGACTCAGGTGAAGCGATAACCAATATAAAACGTCTCGGTGGCTGGAAGTCCACTACTATCGCTGAAGGCTATTTGGAGGACTCCGAAACACAGAAGAAAAACATTTCGAATAAAATTCTTTCAAATAGAAATGACTTGCAACCTTTGCTGCCACCGTCATTTTCACCTTCATGCGACCTGCAACCGATGTCACTCCCGTCCACGTCATCTTTTCAATCTACGAGCGTTACGACTATTAACAGCCAATTAACACCAACTAATTCCTCTGTACCGGCAATTTTACATAATTTATAAAATGCTACAAATTGTGTATTTAACATTAATATCCATAATAATTAGTTGTTTTTATTTAAAGATTTGTATATGTTGAAATAAAATAATTTTCCAAAAATAATTTTTCCTACTTTTTTGTATATACGGTCGTAGAAAAAATAATGTTCCTAACTCATGCGTAAAGTGTCTTTCCCGCACTTGACCGCTTGCCCGAACTCCGCTTCGCGTCGTTCGGGCCAACTGCAGTCGCGCGCGGGAAAGTAACACTTTCCGCACTTGTTAGGAAAATAACTATTTTTGTTTTTTTAAGTTATAACAATTTTAATTTAGAAATTTTCAATATATTAATACGAATTTATATGGTAAAATAAATTTTTGAAGTAAACTTGTTAGCTTGACTGACATGAAAAATATGTGAACTAATAAAAACGACATCCCAACAGTTTGATCCCCACTTAAAGTTCCATTAAATAAATAAAAATAAAAACAAATAAAAAAGAACTAAATAAAAATATAAAAAAAAAATAAAAATGAAAATAATAAAAATAAAGATAATATCATTTTTATGTAAAACTTTATGCTTTACAATTTTTGTTAAGAACTTTTTTTATAGCACCTACCGTTTTTAAATAACCCTTCTTGTTTTTTGACCTTTGCCAGTGCCTGAAAAACAATTTTTTTTGTATATCGTTTTCAAATACTCTACCTGTATTTCCTCCAAAATTTTGATTTAAAGGTCTATTTGATTGTACTAGGTGGCATTGTTATCGAGATCCAGATATGTGGCAGGACAACGTTTGTCTACCAGGTCCGCTAGTTGTTTAATATAATGTCTGTTTCCAGGTGATAAACACGTCCAATGCGGTAGGCGAGCTGACGTCTTCAAATTCTGGTTCATGTGGAAAGCGAAAGGGTCATTAGGTTTCGAAAAGCACATTGACAAAGTATTCGAAAACTCTAAATATTTCCTCGAAACCGTAAAGAATCGAGAAGGCTTCGAGCTGCTGTTAGAAGAACCCGAATGCACAAATATATGTTTCTGGTACATCCCGCCCAGTTTGAGACAACTGGAAAAATCGGGTTCCCAGTACAAAGACAAATTACACAAAGTTGCCCCGAAAATTAAGGAGATGATGATGAAGGAGGGCAACATGATGGTGACGTATCAGGCTCAGAAAGATTATCCAAATTTCTTCAGGATTGTGTTCCAAAGTTCAGGGTTGGATAAAGCTGATATGTGTTACTTTGTTGATCAAATTGAAAGTATGGGCAAAAATTTGTAAATATTTTTTTTAGCGATAGTTGTATTGTTAATATTTATTGTAATACTAATGTAATTGTACAATGTAACAAATATTAATAGATTGAATATATTTCATTACCTTTATACTTTTATTTTTTTGTACTGTTTCCTGTCTAAATTAGTATTACTAATCGTAAGTAAATGAGAAAAATAAATAAAGTACGTGTAATTTCATTATATATATATTTTTACTTTATTAACATTACATTAATAATTAATGTGATGGATAAGCAAATCAGTGCATATTTTCTCAAATCGTGCATGAAAAAAACAGTGGCAAGTTATAAATTCCAAAATGGAACTTTTATTTGTAAAAATTTTATTAAGTATAAAATACACTTAAATGGATATCTGAACTAAAGCTACTTCAAATAACAGCTTCAAATAACAAATAACACACAATAATAAAGTTCTACTCCTATTTATAGGGTAAAACTGATTATTAATCAAAGATAATCTACTTATATCATAAAAAAGTCTATTATATTCTCAATATACAGGGTGTCCCAAAATTCCGTGTACATAGATCTACTGTATGTTGATGAGATCAAAATAAGTCGATTGAGCCAAAATTACCTATATCACAAAGTCCATCGTTTGCCTGTGAGGAAGCTTCAAAGTTGGAAGAAAATTTAAACGCTTTGTTTAATTTTTATAAAATTTGGTGTGTAGCTATTTTAATTGAAGAGCCATTATTCAAAGCAAAAATTACACCAACTGAAATTATGGAAGGGTAAAAACCACCCTAATCCTACCATAAATGACATCGTATTTTTTTTTTCAGGGCCCCCCTTGGTCCCTAATTTTTTTTTGTGGAGAGCTGTTTTCATTTGTAGCATTTTTTTTTCTTGCAAAAAACATGTATCTCTCATGGTATTTGAGTAAAAAAAATTTTATGGACTGATGGTTAGTCACTTAAAATTTTCAAAAAAACTAAGTTGGCGGTTACTACTGCAACTCGAACACGATTTTAACGTTATTACAATAAAACAATCATTAATAGGCACAGGTATCTATTAAAAAATAACAATTCGAAAAAAAGGATAAATTTTTTTACAATAAATGTTCAATATGGCTACCTCCTTCGTTCATGCAGATTTCAATTCGGCGCAAGAAATTGAAGTGTACCCTTCTCAAAATGCCTAGATCATTTCGCATAGAGTTCACAGCAGTTTGAATCCTACCCCATAATTGTTCAATGTTGTCGATAGGAACTTCATAAACTTTGGTTTTCAAGTGACCCCAGATAAAATAATCACAAGGATTACAGTCCGGTGATCGAGGTGGCCACTGAATAGGAGCATCCCGACCTCTGCCAATCCATCTTCCATGGTATTGTTCGTTTAAATAATCTCTCATAATGCGGGAAAAATGAGGTGGTGCACCATCGTGAATAAAAAACATGTCACGGCGTAAATTGAGCGGTAAATCTTCTAACAGTTGAGGCAAATCTTGACGTAGAAAATGCAAGTAACTGTCACCGTTAAGACGATCTGGTAATCTAAATGGACCAATCAAGTAGGTGTCAATAATGCCCACCCACACATTAATTTTAAACTTTCGTTAAAAGTGTTTCTCTTTAATGGCATGTGGATTTTCATCTGCGTAAACATGTTCGTTATGTGAATTTGTTATACCACGTCGTGTAAAGCATGACTCGTCTGTAAACAAAATTTTTCTGTGAAAAACTGGATCGGCCGCTCTGTGCTCTTGAATAACTTGTACAAAATGCAAACGAGACTCATAATCAGGAGGTAGGAATTCCTGGACACTTTGAATGTGAAAGGGATACATAAGTTGTTCTCTAATTATTCTGTTGAATGTGCTTTTTGAAATCCTAGTTTCGCGTGCCAGTCGTCGGGTACTAATTCCGGGATTATTTTCAACTATTTCAAGTATTCCCTCCTCTGCAGCAGGAGTTCTAACATGACGAGGTCTTCCAGCATTATTTCTGTTCGGTTTCAGTAGACCAATTTCTCGAAGTCGCCTCTCGATAGAAGTAAAATTCTGGTGATTCGCAATCTGTCAATTTGGAAATCTTTCATGGTATGCCCGAACACTCTCACGGCAGTTGCCATTACAGAAACCAAGAACTAGCAACATATCAGTTTGTTCATTGAATGTGTACTCCATACCAACCACAAAATGTTTGAAATAACTCCTTCACAAAAACTTTAAATCGAAACAGAAAAAATACAATACATACATAAAATGAGTAGTATCGACAATTTTTACAGTTCTACAACATACATATCTGTCAAAATTATCAAATTGTTTATAGGGACCGTGCGTCATGACTTTAACGCTAACTGGTGACAAAAATGTGAACTTTATGGGGGGTATTTATTAATGTTTTATACGGCATTTATTGTTTAATAATTATTAATTAAATAAAGTTGAATTATTTTCGTAATATCATTATCGAAAAAACTTGTTGCATCCGTGGATGTTCAAACACATCACTTTGGAAACCTGGATTTCATTCGAAAGTAAAGAAATTTTATAAATTTCCACAGAGCACAACAATTAATGTCTCACACCCAATGATATACATAATTACAAAGATTGCTTATCCATATGTAAATCAGACGACGAAAAGCGTATTTCACTGGGCAAAGTTTTCTTTTTATTTAGTTTGTATCAATTTTGAGCACTTAGTTGTAAAGAAATCATTTACAGAACCGGTTTAGAAATTAGAATCTTTAGTGTTTTCTTGTCATTAAGATTTTTACATATTTAAATGAACATTTTATATAAATATAAGTTTACAGATAATTAATGGTTTATTCTGTTGATTAAAACTAATGTAGAATGTTATTATGAAATAAGAATGGCCAATTTGACAAAAATATCATGGCCCTCTTTACAATTTATTAACTATTTCTCATTTATTATTAAAATAAACAAATCATAAATAATACATTGCAATTGGGGGGTGGGTTGGCTCAGTGGTTCGAGTCATGACTTTGAGATCGGAAGGTCTCAGGATCAAATCCCACCGTTGGCCGGGATTTTTTAATTTAATTTAATTATTTAAAATTAATTCTGATGCCTTGGTAGGATTCCCCACTCGACCATTCACTGTTGGGTTCTAATTAACAGTGCTGTTCCTAAAGTGGCGCTGGGAAACAGTAACAAAGCCTACACAGAACACGAGGCTAATGGCCGTAGTAGTCGACGCCGTTGACACCAAATTAAAAAAAAATACATTGCAATTACTGTCAAAAGAGATTGCAACAAACTTTAAAATATTAAAAATCAAGTGATTTTTTTGTAAATTCTTTTAGTGACATTACCATTAAACATTATTCACAATAATAGATAAGTGTCCAATTTCAACTCTTACCAAAGTTGTTTATACCTCAAATCAAAGTTGTTTACATTACCTTTTCAAAATTGTATTACATATTGCAATTAAGTATTTTATGTAGTATTATTTCTGAAATGAGAGTAGTCTAAAATTATTTATATCAATCTGTTATAAAAATTGTTTAGGGGTGAGATTACAGAACGTCTGCAACTTTGCAGATCTGCAAATATGGCGGCAACTTTGAAAATCTGCAAATATGACTGACTTACACATGCAAGTGTCAAGTTTTCGTATTCCAAATTTGGGTTTAGTGTTGTTGCGAATTTGCAGATATTTTTTAGAATACTTGCATTTGTAAGTCCGCCATATTTGCAGATCTGCAAAGTTGCAGATCTGCAACGTTCTGTAATCTCACCCTAGATCTCTTAATATTATTTAACTACATGGAAACTCAACTTTCCAAATACATAATAACATGTCTTGAAGTAACACTTTAATTATTTTCTTTTTCTAAAGATTAAAATGCTGAAATTTTATTTTAAAACACATTTGGGCTAGAACGGCTCTATTTAGTGAGCTCTAGGAAAGGCATATTGCAACCCGCTTTTCATATTTTTTTTATAGATGGGTGAGCAATCTATAATATGTATCATTGAACATCTCATAAACGTCAGTGGATGAATGACATTTCGACTAACAAAGCTAAAAAGATTTATTATTATTACTATCAATCTTTTTTATTAATTTACATTTTTTAAATGTTATTGTAATACTTTTAAATTCAGTGTTACTAAATACCGATATTTTGACATTGGATACACTTGTTTAAAGGTACAACTTTACAATTTATTGTCACTTAGCCATTTAAATATTTTTGCTTAAAATGTACATACATGTCCAGATTTTAATAATGTTTTAAATTTTCATTTCATTTTGACCATGTACACGATTGTTTGGTACGGGCCGGTATCTATTTTTAACTATATTTAATATTTTAAAAAATATCCTCTATTATTTACTTGCAATGTTTACCCCATTTAATTCTAAAATTAAACACTATAGAGAGGGCTAACTTCGGCAGTAGTGCTGCCTCTATATTTCACGCACGGTCCCTATTGCAACGTTGAGAACCGCCAACTTAGTTTTCTTGAAAATTTTAAGTGACTAACCCTCAGTCCATAAATTTTTTTTTACTCAAATATCATGAGAGATACGTTTTTTGCAAGAGAGAAAAAATGCTACAAATAAATATAGCTCTCCACAAAAAAAATTTAGGGAACAGGGGCGGCCCTGAAAAAAAAATACGATGTCATTTATGGTAGGATTAGGGTTTTTACTCTTCCATAATTTCAGTTAATATAATTTTTGCTTTGAACAATTGCTCTTCAATTAAAATAGCTACACACCAAATTTTATAAAAATCGAACGAAGCGTTTTTGTGTTATTAAAAAAAATTGAAAATTTTCTTCCAACTTTGAAGCTTCCTCACAGGCAAACGATGGACTTTATGATATAGGTAATTTTGGCTCAATCGACCTATTTTGATCTCACCAACATACAGTAGATCTATGTACACGGAATTTTGGGACACCCTGTATAACTCCTCCCTCCTTAAGTTTTGAAAAATATGGAACTATTTTTCAAAACATCTTCTGTGGGATTTTTTAATTCAATTTCTTCGTTTTCTTTCTTCTAAATCTTCTTAAAAGTTGTCTTCTGTATTTAATTAATATTAAAATAATTATGCAAATAAAAATTACAA